AATGTAATTAACATTTAAATGAGAAGTTTCACATCACAGTTTTCACAGGGTTCTGGAGACACCCTTGCAGAGAGGAGACGCAGGCCACTGAGCCCAGGACCACTGTATGGAAAACTCAGAATTGCTTGGCCAGAGGATATGATTTTATTTATCTCTTGAGGGCCTGACTTCTGGGAGATTTTTCAAATGCTTTTATTCCTTTTCTGGCAACCTTCAAACACAACTTTTGCAAATACGTTTCCTTTAGTATTTCCCTTAATATTTCAGTGGATTTTTCTCTCCCTGCCCAATTTTAATACGTCTCCATTTCTACTTATTTTTAAAGCCTCTTTTTCATACTCCATCTCTCCAGGAAATCAAATCTTCCTTTAATCAGAGGAGTGGCCTAATCCCTCAGCTCAGCACCTGCGGTACCTCACCTGGCTCAGTGGCACCCTCGTCTGAAAAGTGTGGGGATAGCACCTACCTCATGGGGCTGTGGTCAAGGATAAATGAGATAACGATGGAAGAGGCACTTAGTGAATGGTAGCGTTAATCATCATTGATAATATTCTTTTCATTAGTATTTAGAGTTTGGGGTTAACAAAATAGGATCATAACTCCTTTGCCTAAACTGTGTTCCCACTGGCCATCTTAATGGAACCTTCTTTCCCCGCTTAGGATCTGGTGACTTTGAGGTTGCCTGGAATTACCCCCGGACTTGAATTCCAAGCCTCGGGCTCTCCCAATGGCACCCTCTGGAGCTTTCAATAAAACCACCTCTGCTTCCCACCATTAGTGAGACAGGCCAGGCTGCTTCTCCATGAGCTGATTCACACTAACAGCTGTCCCGTCAGCTCTTTCAGCCTCTATCCGCATGTTCCAACCCACAACCTTCTCTGCACATATTCAAATTTCATGGACCCCTGCCCTTTCCTGTAGTCAGCATGTCTGAAATCTCATCTTTTCATCAGCATTTTCCAGTCTTTCCACCTGGCAGCCAGGAGCAGGGATCACTCGGAAAACTACCCAAGGCAATTAATGGCATTTCTTCCTTTGCTTAGTGTATATTTTCGAGTGTGTGCTACATGCCAGGCACTTAGGTGCCAGGGCTATTAGGTGACTGGAAATGATTTCTCACCTCAAGGCCTCACCTGGGGAAGGAGAGGAAAATAAGTCCATAAGCCATGCCAGGGCAGCGCGATGCTAACTGGGGTGTGGGCAGAGCACCCCAGCTGGCAAACTCAGGCCTCTCATTATTTTAGAGAAATTTCTAGGTTATCACCCCCAATCCCCGCCCCCCACGTTCTATTCCCTTCCCCCGAGGCTCTGTCCCTCGGCTTAGCACAGCTGAGCACAGATATCCAGCAGCCTGGTGGAGGGAGCGGCTCCTCATTTGGTTAAAGGAACCCTCCAGAGAGGCTGCAGTGTAGGAACCACTCCTTTCTGGCAGGATCCAAACTTCAGAGTTGAGGGATTTAGCAGCAAGTCCGAGGCGGTTTTTTAAAGAACCGCCATCACACACACCCCTCTCGCACCCACTGTTGCATAGGACACCCTCCAGTTTTTCCACAGGGAACATACGCAGTCTGCCCTCCGGTAACAGTTGTTTGAAGCATCTCAGATGGTGCGGCTGCATGCGGCCACGTTGCCAGCTGTGGTCCGGCTCCAGGTGTTCTCCCTCCGGCCTGTCACTGCCTCACTCAGTCCCAGGGAGCCACCCGTGCGCCCGCTGGTGCCCGGCGCTTGTCTGCTGTCCCTCGTGGAAACAGTAACCCAGGCCTCCCTGTTCGCAGCGGCCTCGACAGCTCCCGAATGGAGCCAGTGAGGGCCGGGCGAGCGCCCCTCACCCCGATTCTCTCCTCGACCCATCAGGGAGGGTGCTGTGTGCTGCGAGCATCGTCAGAGAACAGACTGGTTTTCTCGCTAAATTCGGTTTCTCTCTGTTAGAGGCTCATTCTTTGGGTCTGAGGAATATTCTGGATTGTGAAAATAGTGCCCTCGCCAACGAGACAGGGAACTGCTGGAGGCCGTGGAGGGTTCGTTACGCGGCTGTTTCTCTTCTTAGTGGTCCCAGCGCTTAATACAGCACGGGGCTCACAGGGACGCTCACCCCGGCTGGCAGGGCATTTGGTGGGCGAGGGTTCTGGAAGCTGCTAGAACCGGGCCGGCCTGGCTGCTGTTAGCCATGCGGCCCTGGGCAACGTGCTTGCTCACGGGACGTCCTCGTGGTAGCATGAGGGTTTATTCAGTCCTTGACAAACATTTCTTAAAGGCTTAGTGGAGCTGGCAGGTAAAAGCAAGTAAAAATAAATCAGATGATTTTCGAGACGGTGGATGAAGGCGGCGGCGGCCATTTGGGCGTCATCAGTGTAGAGTTGGCATTTGAACCCCGGGAGGGAGGAAATTACTGGGTGAGAGAGGGAGAGAGTCCGCAGAGAAGAGGCACAGGCCCAACCCGGGTGCAGCCCCTCTCCCGCCCCGACACCCCGGAAGTCAGGGAGGAGGGAGGAGGGTACCGGGGTCCGGGAGGCGGCCCTGGGATCTGAGCTTCCTTCTTCCACAGAGATGCGCACCCGGCTCTCAGGCTCATTTACCAACGCGTGTACAACAATCACAAAGGAGAGCACGAAAACCGTTACATGGAAGCATTTCTACGCAAGCCTACATTGTTAATGGGAATTTCGTCAGCCAAGAAAAAGTTTTCAGTAAGACAAATCTCCCAATGGAAACTGCTTCCAGCTCAGGGCTGCCAGAGAGCCAGGTGTTCGCACCCATTCTGAGACGGCACTAGTTTTCTCCGAAGCCCCCCCCAGACCCCGTGCCCAAGGGTCTCATGTGCCCCATCTGTTGCTTTCATTCCTTAGCAGCTCAGGAAAGCACATTATCTCAGCTTAGCTAATAGTAAACTTTCTAAGCTAAAAATACAGCTACCACCTGCCCCCATAGAAATGATTACCGGGAGCCATAAAGACCTTGGTATTTGGCCTGGGGGGGGATCCGCAGTGTTAATTCTGCCTCCCAAGCCCTGATGTCTCCTCTGCTGGTGGGCGAGTCTCACTTCTTTAATTCGGAGGCTCAGTCCACCACGTGCTTGGTATCTGGAGATCAACTTTCACAGCTGGAACCAGAGGTGCCAACCTAACCTGGGCTTCCCCAGCCTCCACTTGTCATTCTCACTTTCCACAGGCGTGTGTTAAGAAGAAAAGAGGTTTCTCGACAGCCTCAAAGTCTTTGGAAAATTCCACTGATTCTGATTTCTTTTTTATTTTTGCCTGTTTCGTATAGACCTCTCCATTATACAGCCTGTGTAGATCAGTGACTTGGGGAAATGAGGTTGTTTTTGCGCAGGGATTAACTTTTCCAGCTGTGTGGGGTTGGTAACACATGTTAACGTGTCACTCACACGGACACACCAATAGGAGTTGCTTTCCTTTGAATGTCAGCATCTTATAGGCCATCAGATTGTCACCAGGCTGGTGAGCTTTGAAATTTCTCTCTGGCTGTCCTCTGCTCAGACTGGCTGCTGCTTGTTGATGTCATTTGCAGACAACGGTGGAACTTACAGTTCCTCTGCTACCACTGTCTCCAGGCGTCCTCATGCCCTTTTCAAGAAATAAGCTTGCACTAGACATAAAATATGAGATGAGTGGTGTATGATAGGTGACCAGAAAGAAAGGAAACACTGCCTTGCATAACTTTATGATGTTTTGTTTACAGAGTCACACCTCACAGAGGCCTCTCTGTATGTTTTCAAAGCACATGTAGACAGATAAGATGTGAAAATTGGGTAAAAGCTAAGCTTGGATAAGATCCCAAGTGAAAAAGGGTAGCATTTTCCTCCCCGACCTGTGGCAGGCAGTCTGCTGTGAGTGGGTGTGTTAGAACGACAGTCTGGATAGGCCTTCTGAATAGATCAGCTGAAGAGTAGAGAAGCACTTAGCTATTGCTTGCAAGGGGAAGAGCAAATCACAAATGTCCTGCAAACTTTGTGTGAAATCCCCAAGGTGAGATGACACAGGTTTGGGATAACAGTATAAAAATGCCCAAAGCCAGTGCTCAGTCATTTACCAAGTGCTCAAGGCAGCCTGTGCACTGGGAAGACAGGATCAGCCCCGAGAAAGACCTGGCCTCAATTCTAGTTCCACTGCCTCTGAGCTGTATGGCCCCTGCAGGCAGTCCCCCTTCTAGGCCTCAGTTTGCTCATCTGTAAAATAGGGCAGCAGCATCATTTTCCTCATAGGAATGTTTCAAGGCCAAACGTATTGATGTACGTGACATCTCTTGACAAACCTTAAAGCACCGCATACTGTTTTTCTTTAAATACTTTCCCAGATGGTATTTAGCCCCACAAGACTCTATACAGTATCCTTGTCTTACAGGTAAGGAAGCTGAGAATTGTGGACTGAAAGATCAGGTGTATTACATTATTTGAAGATCATACATCATTTTTAAAATGCTATCAATTCTCCTACGACTATTGAAATAGCAGAGACATTTTTTAGAAAACGGCTATAACTGGGATGGGAGAACAAGGGATTGTCCCTCTGTCCTGTCCCAGGCCCCTAGTGGCCTCTGTCTTGGCCACTTACCATGAAAGATGGTCAATCAGTACCACACACCCATGAAAGACTGAGCCCCAGCCCAGCACAGCACAGCACAGCACAGCCCAGCCCAGCCCAGCAATTACCATCAAGAGTGTTGGTACCATCTTAAGGGAAGATTGTTCTGTGAACCAAAGAGCTTTCTTGTACAAAAGAGGGAAATCTTTGCTTTTCTATTGTAATGAGAATAGAATGCACACGTTTTGTTTTTTCAAAACAGCTAAGCTCTGTTGAAAGAATAATTATGTTCTTGAAATGTCTTAACGGTAAGCATTTCTCTGAGTGGTGAATTTGGAAGTACGTACATACAATGATACCATTTTGTTATATTATTAGAGTATTGGGGGGGAGCTCCCTCAAGTAAAAAGACATTTTATTAATTGATTTCCATTTTCTTTTTTCTGCCTCTCATTTCAGAACGATTTGATCACCACTGTCCCTGGGTAGGCAACTGTGTGGGGAAAAGAAACTACAGATTTTTTTATATGTTTATTTTATCTCTGTCTTTTCTGACAGTCTTTATATTTGCATTCGTTATCACCCACGTCATTCTTCGTAAGTATGCTGGCGAAATCAGATTACGTATGTAACCATTTGCCTGACTTTAGTTTTCTGATCTAATTTTGATTTAATATTTTGGTCATTCCGGGCTCTCTCTTTCTTCTCTTTCCCCTTCTCCCTAGCCCCCTCCTCGCTTCCAGCCTGCCTTTTGTTTCTCACCTCCCTCCCAGCCTTGTCACCCCGCCTCTCTCCCTCCCACCCCCCAACCCCATCCTTCCCACAGCAGCTGCCAGGGGCACCCCTGGATCAGACTCTTTCACTTACAAGACCTTCTCCTTGATACATGGTCCCTATTCCACCCTCGTGACTTCACTTTCTCTTCTGCTAACGGATCCCCGGGAAAAATTACTCCCATGTTTTCACAAAGGATAATGTGCTGTAATGATACCCATTTTAAAACAGAGCTTTTTTTTTTTTTTAATGTGATATCTACTTAAGCAGGAATAGTCACCCTCCCTAAAAAAAAAAAAAAAATGGGGATAAAGACTGAGCTTTCTTACACACATATCTATAAATGTTAAAGATATATATTTGATAAGATGTTTAATTACCTGCCAGAACATTGGCCAGCTACCCCTGGCATATGAAGGAAGCGACTTTATTAAAAATGAAATGTGGATATACATGACTTTAATATATATTTGCCTAAGTAAATGGCATTTTTCATTACCCTTCCTAAGGTCATAATTTTGAATTTCTTCCATTTCCTGGCCTCTCACTTTCCTGTAATAGGGAATGATGAGAAGGAAGCCCCTTGGCTTTGACCTATAAATGTAAGCCTTAAACTTCCATTACAGTTCCATTAGCAACATTAAAGACCAGCGTGGCCTCTGTCCACATTCCTGTAGTACACCCACCCATTAGCAAGTACAGAGCCTCTCTCTGGAATGTTTCCGGAAGTATCTGGACACACACCTCACTTGCTTCCCTGCAGCAGTGCTGAAACCACAGTGTGCTAAGGCTGAACTTAGACACGCACATTCTCCCCTCTGCTCTCTTGGTGGGGTTTGTACGGGGGCTGGGGGAAGCGGATGGTATGGAAAGTTTAACATTAGTTCTTTTAAAATATTGGTCAATTTTGGACATGAATGGCCTATCCCAAATTTTCTTAGACATTTAAAATCCTAGTTCCCATTCTTTCTGACTGAAATCCTTTTATCTGAACGTGACACAAATTTGTAATACATGATTGAGAGCCATAACTTGGTGGGACGGGAAGAAGAGAATTAACGTTGATTAGAGACCCCTTCCACACCACCTGGGAAGGATGCCGCAGCGCTCTGCCGAGGCACCTGTTCTATTTTCAGAGTCGCAAAATGGCAAAAGTGTAACTAGGGTCCTATGTATGTGTTAATAGACAGTAGAAGCAATTGCTTACACAACTAGAGAAGACAGAAGTACTGATATTCCAGCATATTTATGACACTGAAAAATAGTCTTTAACATCTTATATCTTAAATATATATGTATATTTAACATTACATCTTATATCATCTTTAGCAACTTCAAAATGCCTATCTATGTATCTGTCTATAGTCACATTCATTTTGGGCCTTTGCCCCTACATTCTGGATATCAAGCAGTTTTCACTTGCTCAGCCTCGCACATAAGCTCTGGGAACACAAACACACGCGCGCACACGCACACGCACACACAGAGGCACACACAGCGACGCCTGCCACTACAGTGGCATTTTTCATCTCCTCTAAAGTTTTACTCACCCTGGTTTCGGCAAAATGGAGCTTGCTGTAGTTTATGCTGATGTACTGGTAATCCGGTCTTCCACAAAAAAAAGCATTCTGAACTTATCTGCCTGCAAGTTACCCGACTGTTTTGGACAGAAGCAGATAAAGGTTTTCCTCTCCCCTGCTTCTGCATCCTCACTACAGCCCCCACTGAACAAGCCCGCCTGACCCCCGATTTGCTCTCAGGAAGGGCAAGAGGTTTTACGAGGCTCCGTGATCCCCCTAAGATTCTGGAAGCCTTGGCAAAGGCAGAGAGCTGTTTGAGAGCAGCGGGGGGACTGTCCCCTGAATCCTCCCTGCCGGGAAGTGGGCTCTGAGAAGGGGACACAGGACAGCGAGGGGTGGCCGGGGAGGAAGCCCGTGGGTCACAGAGATTGCTGGGAAGGTGACACCGGGAAGCAGAGTCTGGGAAAGCGATGCAATTTGGGTTCAGTA